TTACTTCCCCCTTTAGCACTTCATATGTCATCCTATTCTTCCATGAATTCTTCATATTCATCATTGGTTACAATGCAATAATATTCCATTGCATTACTATACCACAATTTGTTCAGCTATTCCCACATCAGTATTTTCCATTCTTTGTTGCTGTCACAAAAAATGATGCCACGAATATTTTGATGTTTATAGAACCCTTCTGGTTTTGACCTTTTTGGGGTGGATGTCTAGCAATGTGATCTTTAGGTCAAAGGGGCATTTGATCACTTTGTTTAGCACAAGTACAAAATACTTTCCAGAATGGTTACACCAATTCATAATTCAATCAACAGTATATTTCTGTTCTTTTCTTCCCATAATTCCTCCAACATAGATTATTTCCATATTTTTCCATCTTTGTCAATTAGTTCTTTTGATTTGCATTTTTCATTATTTGTGATTTGGAGCAATTTTTCATACAGTTGTTGAAAACTTTTTGTTCCTATCTTCTGACCACTTATTCATTGGGTAAATGGCTTTTGGTCTTACAGATTTGTCTTAATTTCTCATATAGCTTGGTTATCAGATGTGTATCACGGATACTGACTCAGCAATCTAAATGAATCTTAGATCCATCTCTCTCCACACTAGAGCTTCTTCCTGATAATTTTTATCCTGGATAGCTAAGAAAAAAGATGCAAAGAGCCTGGTGTCACATATATCATTTCCATGATGGAAATCTCCCATGATGGAAATTTATTTTAGCGCCTTAGCAACCACAGTGCCATGGTCATTTGAAGTCACACGTCCTCTTCCTCCTTCTTGATACGTGAATCTTTGGCCCAAAACTGAGTTTTTATTAATCCTGCAAGAGCATTTTATAACTCCGGCTTACATCTTTAACATGTTCTTTTGTTAAAAAAAAAAAAAAAGAAAAGCCTTTTCCCTTTTCCTATTGTACATTTTAAACAGATTTGGCACATAATAAAACAGTTAAAAAACAGGGTTACACAGTAGTTTCATCACAGGAACAATGTATCATCATACATAGCAAATATAACTATTGAAACACACCCACACACAAACACACCCACACACGCAGACACACACAAACACACTCAAAAACCTTCTGTAAAAAGTATTAGTAAACTTTTGATTCTCATTCCACCTGTCTGTCTACCTTCTCTTCCTGATTCCAATAGGTCAAAGTCAGTTTTCCTAAGAAGATCTCCTAACATTTTGTATTAAACATTTACTGTTTTCTGATTTCTGACTTGTGGAGTATTTATCTCTTTATGCATATATTTAAACATAGAGATGGGAGAGAGTGAGTGAATAAATCAATCAAATCACTCAATCCCACTGAAAAGTGATAAAATGCTATGCCCTAGTACCTTAACCAGGTGAGAACATATATCAATCAAAAACTTCACATATGTAAAAAGCCCTTGAAAATCATTGGATGAATTGAGATGATGCTGACAGAAATACTTTTCTAATGAGTTGATGTATTTGAGCATGCCCTGGTGGGCTTGTATAAAAAACCAGGCCCTAGTTCAGAACCTAAGACAGGGATCGGGAACCTACAGCCTCCAGGTGGCAGGTTCCTCACCTGTGACCTAAGAGATTTACCTTTAAGCATCTTTGGCATTCAAAAGTCTGTTCAAAAGCTCCTACACTGAAGGCCTTGCCTGTTTCCCTCTGTTTTAGAAAAATTTTTAAATTTTAGAATTTTAGAATTTTTTAGAATTTTTAGAATTTTTTTCTACTCCTAGAAAAAATTGCCTTTGCATATTATTTTACAATTATTTTGAACACATTTTATATGTGTCAATGTTGTTTCACCTGTTAGGATATAAGCTTCTTGAGGGCAGGACCTATTTCATTTTTGTCTTTGTTTCCCAGCGCCTCAATGCCATAGTAACTATAGCAGGAGTTTAATAAATGGGAATTAATTCATACTGACTTCCCTGGCTTCCTTCAAGTCCTAACTAAAATCTCATCTAATACAGGAAGCCTTTCCCAACACTTCTTAGTTCTAGTGCCTGCCCTCTGTTACTTATTTCCTATTTATCCTGTATGTTGATTGTACATACTTGTTTATTTTGTCTCCCCCACTGTATTGCGTGCTCCTTGAGGACAGGAACTGTCTTTTGCTTCTCTTTGTATACCCAGGACCAGATGAATTCACAAGTGAATTCTACCTAACATTTAAAGAACCATTAATTCCAATACTATATAAAACTATTTAGAAAAATAAAGGCATCCTATCAAACTTCTTTTACAACAGAAATGTGGTGTTGATACCTAAACCAGAAAGAGCAAAAACAGAGAAAGAAAACTATGGACCAATTTCCCTAAGGAATATTAATGTTAAAAAGTTTAAGTAAAATACTACCAAGCAGATTACAGCATTATATCACAATATATCACTATGAGCAGGTGGGATTTATACCAGGAATGCAGGAGTGGTTCAATCTTAGGAAAACTATCGGCATAATTAGGAAAACATAGGCATAATTAGGAAAACATCAACAACAAAACCAACAACAATCATATGATTATCTCTATAGATGCAGAAAAAGCTTTCAATAATTACAACATTCATTCCTACTAAAAGCACTAGAAAGCATAGGAATAAAAGGAGCTTACAATAAAATGATAATTAGTATCTATCTAAAACCATCAGCAAGCATTATCTGTAATGGGGATAAGTTAGAAGTCTTCCTAAAAAGATCAGGGGTGAAGCAAAGATGCCCATTATCAGCACTGTTATTCAATATTGTTCTAGAAATGGTAGCTATTGCACTAAGAGAAGAAAAATAAATTGAAGGAATAAAAATAGTCAATGAGGAAACAAAAGTATAATTCTTTGCTGATAATGTGATGGTATCCTTAGAGTATCCTAGAGAATTAATTAAAAAACTGTTGAAATAATTAACAACTTTAGCGAAGTTGCAAGATATAAAATAAACTCAAATAAATCATCAGCATTTCTATATATTATCAACAAAGTCTAGCAGCAAGAGGTAGAGAAATTATAGGGGCAGCTAGGTGGCACAGCGGATAGAGCACAGGCCCTGGAGTTAGGAGGACCTGAGTTCAAATCTGGCCTCAGTCACTTGACACTTAACTAGCTGTGTGACCTTGGGCAAGTCACTTAACCCTGTTGCCTACCAAAAAAAAAACCAATAGGAGAAAAATAAATTCCATTTAAAATAATTGTAGACAATATAAAATACTTGGAAGCCTACCTGCCAAGACAAACCCAGAGACTATATGAACACAATTATAAAACACTTTTCACACAAATAAAGTCAGATATAAACAATAAGAAAAATATCAATTGCTCAGGTTGGCTGAGCCAATAATAAAAATGACAATTCTACCTAAATTGATTCACTTATTCAGTTGCATGCGATCAAGCTACCAAAAAATTATTTTATAGAGCTAGAAAAAAATAATAATAAAATTCATCTAGAAGAACAAAAGGTCAAGAATATCAAGGGATTCAATGAAAAAAAATGTGAAGGAAGGCAGCCTCACTATAGTTGATCTCAAATTGTATTACAAAGAATTAATTATCAAAACAATCTGGTACTGCCTAAGAAACAGATTGGTGGATCAATGGAATACACTAGGTACACAATACACAGTAGTACATAGCCATAGTAATCTAATGTTTGATAAATGCAAAGATCCAAGCTTTTGGGACAAAAATTCACTATTTGAAAAAAAAACCGCTGAGAAAACTGGAAAGCAGCATATAGGTATAGACCAACATTTTATACCCTTTACCAAGATAAAGTCAAAATGGGTACATGAGTTAGACATGAAAGGTGATACCATAAGCAAATTAGAGGAGCATGGAATAGTTTCCTGTCAGATCTCTGGAGAAGGAAAGAATTTATCAAGAGATAGAGAACATTACAGATATAAAATGGTTAATTTTGATTACATTAAATTAAAAGCTTTTTCCACGAACAAGACCAATGCAGCCAAGATTAAAAGGAAAATAGAAAATGGAAAATATTTTGGCATCAAGTTTCTCTGATAAAGGCCTCATTTGTCACATGTTTAGAGAACTGAGTCAAATATTTAAGGATGCAAGTCATTCTTCAATTGATCAATGGCAAAAGGAGGTATGTGAAGAGGCAGTTTTCAAATGAAGAAATCAAAGCTATCTTTAGTCATATGAAAAAAATTCTCTAAATCACTATTGATTAGAGAAATGCAAATCAAAGCAACTCTGAGGTACTGAGTAATACTTGCCAGATTGGCTACTATGACAGAAAAGGAAAATGACAAATGTTGGAAGAGATGTGGAAAAACTGGGACACTAATGCATTGTTGGTGCAGTAGTGAACTGATCCTACCATTCTGGAGAGCCATTTGCAATTATGCTCAAAGGGCTATAAAACTGCGTATCTTTTGACTCAGCAAGACCACTATTAGGTCTGTATACCAAAGAGATTTTTTTTTAAAGGACCTATGGAGGAGACAACATGCAAACACTATGTACAATCAGGATATCTACAGGATAAATTGGAGATAATTAATAGAAAGTCGTCAGCAAGCATTTATTAAGAGCTAAGAGCTTATACGGTGCATATGCACGTAGATACAAGGCCTGGATGTGTTTGCATGTTTAGAAAGAGGAAGAGAGTGTTACTGGAATGAGTAAGATGATAAAATAATAATGGCAACAAATGAGCTCTATAATTACACCACACATTTACACATCATGTGATATATATTAACATTTATACATTTTAAGGTTTACAAAGAGCGCACGGGGAAGGTGTATTTGTACGTGTTCATCTGCAAACCACACAGTCGCCAAAGTGAATGCGGAGTGAACTTTTGAGACACCGGCGAAGTGCTGATTTCATGAATCCATCCGCGCCTGCCAATCTCCCGGAAGAGGCGACGCCCCTTCCAGCCCGGTGACGTCAGACTCGGTCTCTAGGCAACGGGACGCCAACTACCCATCGCCCCCGGGGAGCCCCTTTGCCGCCTCCTCTCGGCCCTGCCCGGACCCGGCGCCATGTCCCTTCCGCTGCTGCCGGGATACAGCTTCAACAAGAACGTGAGTAAAGCTGACGGGGCAGAAGGGGCTCGTAGGCCGGGCCGGGCCGGGCCGGCCGCGGAGAGGAACCGGGAGGAGCGAGGCGGAGCTGGGGGGCGGCGAGGAGTCGCCCCGCGCACCCCCGCCGGCGAGGACCGCGGGCTTCCTGCAGCTGCTCCCCAACGCCCGACCGGGAGCAGTTTATGCTTGGGGTGAAACTCACCGCGTCCAGCCCCGCAGCTGCCGCCCTTCCCACCGCGCACTGACTGCCCAGGGCGTTCGGAAAGGGGCGTGTTGGATGGTTGTTTTTTTTTAAAGTGTCTCTCCGTTTCTCTCCTTGTCTCTCTCAATGCCGCAGCGCCTCCCCAGGCAGAGAAAGCAAACGTGGTTTATGTGTGCAAGGCGAAGTGGTATGAGAAAATCAGGAAGGGGGACACACGGGGACCCTGGTCACCAAAACCCACAGCCCCCTTTGTGTTGGTGTGGTCGCCTGATCCCCGGGCAGCACCGCCTCCTCCACCTCTGTGGGCAATCTGTGCAAGCCTTGGTTGTATACATTAAAATAAGAGGAATAAAAAAGTACTTTGTCCTTCCTTCCTTCCTTTCTTCCTTCCTTCCTTCCTTCCTTCCTTCCTTCCTTCCTTCCTTCCTTCCTTCCTTCCTTCCTTCCTTCCTTCTTTTCTTTCCTTCCTTCCTTCCTTCCTCTCTTCCATCCTCTCTGACCATCATCTTTCCTTCCTTTCTTCTTTCCTTCCTTCTTTCCTTCCTCTTTCCCTTTCTCCCTCTCTTCCTCTCTTTCCTTCCCCTTTCTCCCCTCCTCCCACCCTCCCTTTCTCCCATCCTTTCTCTCTTCCATCCTCCCTGTCTTCCATCTTTTCTTTCTTCCTTTTTCCCTTCCTTTCTTTCCCTTCTTCCCCTTTCTCCCTCTCTTCCTCTCTTTCCTTCTTCCTTCCTTCCTTCTTTCCTTCCTTCTGTTCTTACTTCTTTCCTTCTTTCTTCTTTTCCTTGGTCTCCCTCTCCCCATCTCATTTCTCCTCTCTTTTTCTTCTCCTCTCTCCATCCCCTCTCCTTTTCCTCTCTCACCTCTCCCACTCTTCCTCACCCTCTCCCTTCCTATCTTCTCTCCTCTCTTTTTCATTCTCTTCCTCCTCCCTTCCTTTCCCTCTCCTTTTCCCTTTCTTACCCCTTCTCCTTTTTCTTTTTCCACCACAGAAGAGTTTGGTTTTGAACTTTATCCTCTGGAAATGGTCAATCATCTAGTAACAGCTGAATAGCTAGGGGAAAAAAAGGCACATATAAGCTACTAATCTTTATAAAAACTCATGTTAGAAAGGTTTCAACTTGAAACATTCAGATTTATGGTTTATGGACAGTGTGTTTTACCCCCTGTGTAGACCAATATTGTTAAATATTTGCCTTGATACACTTATGTGCTCCCGTCCTCTGCAATCCATTGTCTTCTTAGATCCTCTGTGTATATAAAATGACATCCTGAAAACTTCAGGAGCCTTCACTTAAGCCTAATTAAAACATCCATTTCAATAATAAGAGCCCAGAGCATGAAAAAAGATCCTGAGTCTACAATGTCATTTTAATAAAAATAGAAAACACTATCTCCAATGATAATAACATGAATTTATTATAGATGTCCTCTAGGTCTGTCCTAGCCTTTAGAGATGTTATAATATATGGAAAGGGAAAGTGTTGCAGGCCAAGATTAAAATTTTAAAAAAAATCTGCAAGCCTGTAGTAAATTTGGTTTTTTGAAAAGGCATTTCAGTCATTAACTTTTTGCTTGAAGCCAGCAAGATTTTATTGTGGGACTTGGAAATGGAAGGTTACTAGTCAGATGACTTGGGAAATTAATCATTCAATATAGTCAGGCAGTCAGTAAACATTTATTAAGTACATACAGCCTATGTCCCAGGCACTGTGCTAAATGCTGGGGATACAAAAAGAGGCAAAGGGCACTCCCTGCCCTTAAGGAACTCACAATCTAACATATTTGTTGAGTGTCCATTATTTGAATGTACTTGAATTTTCATCTCTCTGTCCTGTTATTAAATGTACTGCTGTGTACCTTTTTATATTTTTAGTAATATTTATAAAATTCATATTTTAGTTAAAGGGACTATGTGACTTAGTAGAGAGAATATTGAAAACCAGGAGAGGATGGAGAGAGAATGCCTCAGATGCTTATTAGCTGGTGTGACCAGCCTGGCTTTTCTCATCTGTAAAACAGGGGAAAATAACACTTACATTAAATATGAATTATTAAGGTGTGGAAGTAAGCCTTCAGCATATAATGGCCAGGAGATTAAGCCTTTTTATTATTATCAGTAAATGAAAAGCCTCTGGCCTCCTTCATGTAGCATCATTTACCTTTCTCTATGGGTTTCAAGTTAGGACTAATGCCAATATATAAAATTTATAATTTTTAGGGAGAGTAGAGAGATAAAAACCCTGTGATTTCATCAATGTGGGGAATGCCTTTCACCATCTTCACAGCTGATCTAACATGGTGCTATGGGAAGGGGCTGAACCTGGAGCTGTAGGACTGAGTCTGGATCTCCTCCTCATCCTTTCATATTTTTCCTGAGTTTTCTGCAGCAATGAGAAGTGACCTGTCTAAAGTCACACAGGCAGTGTGTGTCACACACAGGACTTGAACCCAGGTCTTCTTGATCTCAAGGTCTGTTCTCTATCCATTATTTCATACTGCCTTTCAAAAATAATAGTGATAGCTAGAATGTACAAAACACTTGAATGTCTGCAGAGTGCTTTATATGTGTTATGTTATTTGATCCTCACAAAAACCCTATGCTATTAATTATCCTTATTTTACAGATGAAAGAAACTGAGGCAGAGACAGATTAAGTCACTTGCTCAGGGTCACACTGCTAGTAAGTGTCTGAGCTGGAGAACTGGAGCTCAGTTCTTTCTCACTCCCAAGTCCAACCCTGTATCCATAATGCCACCTAGCATGTGGATGTGATGAGTAGAGCACAAGTTCTGATAGATTTTACTAAAGTAGAAAATTTTTTTTCTTATTTTATTTTTTAAAAGTAATATTTTGTTTTCCCCCAATTACATGTTAGAACAATTTTTAACATTAAAAAAAGTTTTGGGTTCCAAATTCTATCCTTGTCTCCCTGAGATGGTAAGCAATCTGATATATGTTATACGTGTGCAATCACGTAAAACATTTCCGTATTAGTCATTTTGTACAAGAAGACTAGAAATAAGAAAGAAAGGAAGGAAGGAAAGAAGAAAGGAAGAGAAAAATAGTATGCTTCAGTCTGTATTCAGACAATATTAGTTCTTTATCTGGAGGCAGATAACATTTTTCATTATGAGTCCTTTGGGATTGTCTTGGATCATTGTATTGCTAAGAGTAGTGAAGTGATTCACAGTTGATCATCACACAATATTGCTGTTACTATGAACAACATTTTCCTGGTTCTGCTCACTTCACTTTGTATCAGTTCATGTAAGTCTTTCCAGGTTTTTCTGAAATCATCTTGCTTGTCATTTCTTATAGCACAGCAGTATTCCATCACAGTCCTGTACCACAATTTGTTCAGCCATTTCCCAATTGATGGGCATCCTTTCAATTTCCAATTTTTAGCCACCACACAAAGAGCTCAAGCTGGCCTGGATACTTAGGATGAGCCAAGCTAAGTTTGGAGAGTCTTATCACCAAAAAACTTATACGAGAGATACTGTACGTAGGGAGAGCTACTGTGCTTAGTGTGACATCTGCTTACTAATGTATAGAGGAGTTTCAGTCAAAGCATATCTTTATTATTTTTTTTCCACTCCAAATGATGCCTTATTGACCAGAGCAGGATCATCAGTGGTTTACACACACCCACAGCCTTCCTTCTCCCCTCCAAAACAACAACAACAACAACCCACCAAGTTCCATGAATATGGAAAAGGAGGGGCTTGTCACTCCTTCTTACCACATGCTGTTCTGGACAAAGGAAGGAAAGCGGTTCCCAGCACCAGTCCTATCACCTATAAATCAATAGGGATTCTTTAAAAAGGAAAAAAAGAATTGAATATGAAAAACAGTTATATGAAGAAGGCACCATGTCTAGAAAGGAAAAAGGAATAGGTTTTGTGGGTTAGATATGGAAAGGATATTCTCCAAGAAGATGTGTTATCCCTGAAAAATTGAAATTAGTACTATATAGAGAATTATGTGTTTCAGAAATACTTACTGTATGTGTCAAATTTGCCATATGAACATAGGCTTAATTTTCTCCATTTGGCTCTTAATAACTCCCATTTATATCTTGATATTTCATATCCCTAGAATCTTTGAACCAGCATTTATGGATTCTGTTTACTGTTTATTATTGCAAATCCTACGGTGTTCTTTGACAGTAGTTTGGGAGACCAAACTAGAAGATTCCCACCCCTGACACACAGTCATATATCCAAATATGAGTTATCATTGATGCTGTTTTGATTGTACTGCTAAGGACATTTTATAAATATACTTTGATGTGTATTAATGAAGATACCACAATCATTTTCCTAATGTGTAAGTCTGATTACTCTCTTAGGGACCTCATCAGTTTCTCTGGGTTCTGTTATCATCTTTATGTGCATACCTTCCAGATCTGTGTGTCCAGCCTTTTTATTTTTTTCTTTACTGAGCCCTAGAAATCCAACATCAGCCACTGCTTTTTGAACATTTCAAACTGGATGTCCCATAACATCTCAGATTCAACATGTCTAAAACATAGTTGATTATCTTTTCTCCCCATACGCCCTTCCTTTGAACTTCCCTCTTTCTGTTGGGGGCACCACTTTAACTCATCCAGAAGCAGAGACATCCTTCCCATCCCTGTCACTTATCCCCCACTGTCCAATTGTTTGCCAAATCTACTTGATTCTACTGCCACATTTTTATTGTAGTCATCCTCTTGTTTCTACCTATATAGCCGCTACCCTAATTTAGGTCCTTATCATGTCTTGCCTAGATTATTGTAATAGCTTCCTAATCTCCC